ATCACTGAATTTCAGAACTTTCAGTTATTCTCAGCATCTGGAAAAGGTGGAATATACAAAAGTCCTTCAATATTCATACTCATTAAGTTAACAAATATTTATGGAATTTGTACTATGTGCTGGGCACTATTGCCCCATGAATAGGAGGGACATGACCCCTGCTCTCAAGGACATCATGGTCTAGGAGGGAAGATAAACACGTATTGCAATACATGGTGTTGGCACCTGTGATTGGGGTAAGCACAGTGTTAGAGAACAGACCAGGTGGGCAATGACAGAGAGAGGATACGTGAGCTGAGACTTGAAGGACGAGGAGAGGTGAGCAGAGGGAAGACTATTTTAGAAAGAGAAAAGACCTGAAAAAAAATTTAGAGGCATGAGAAGGGACACTGGGGAACTCCAAGAACTTGATGTAACTGGTGATGGTGTGTGTGCCTTGGGGGTGTGGATGGTATTGGGAAAGGGGGGGAAGATGTGATCAGATTATGAATGGCTTGTGTGCCATGCTGAAGGGTACATGTTAGCCTGGAGAAGCTGAGCCCCTGAAGGATTTTAGACAGACATACAATGATCAGAATTGTAATTTAGAAGGAGTGCTCTACCGCATAGCACAGGGAGATCAGCTCGGTGCTTTGTGACCACCTAGAGGGGTGGGATACGGAGGGTGGGAGGGAGACGCAAGAGGGAGGAGATACGGGGATATATGTATACGTACAGCTGATTCACTTTGTTACAAAGCAGAAACTAACACAACACTGTAAAGCAATTATACTCCAATAAAGATGTTAAAAAATATAAATAAATAAATAAAAGGAGTGCTCTAGCAGTGGGGGCCACTGAGAGGGCTCAGAAGATCCTCTTTCACATGTATAGAGAGTGTTTCTCTCAAGAGCTGGGCCTAGCGTCTGTGAAGGTCAGAGGGGTTGGGACTATCAACCAACACCAGAACATTTACCCCTTTTTCTTCTTTCCTTCCTTTTCTTCTTTCCTCTCCTTCTTCCTACCCCTTCAGCCTCCTCCTTCTCTCAAACATTCTCTTAAGAAGCTCTTAAAACTTAAACAGTTCATGGGACATCTTTAAAAAATATCAGTGAAAACTTTCCAATTTAGTTGTAAATGTCTTCTTTTTCTCTGTGGTCGACGCTAAATTACTTACTGGTTGAATTTCCTTTCATGCATGCTCAGATCTCCTGCTTTCCCTTTGTTACCTATAATTCTTTATCACTATCCATCATCACCTTCAATGTGGTGGTGGGGCGGGGAAACAGAAATTCAAGGAAATTGATTTTACTATTGACTTGTGGTTCTTGTAGAGAGTTTATTAGTAGAATATGAAAGCTTCTGGTGACTTTAATGTTTTTCATAATGTTTTTTAAACTGTAGGTTGTGACCCATGTGTAGGTCATGAAATCAATTTAATGGGTCATAACATGCATTTAAAAAAAAAAAGAAACAATGGGCTTCCCTGGTGGCGCAGTGGTTGAGAGTCCGCCTGCCAACGCAGGGGACACAGGTTCGTGCCCCGGTGCGGGAGGATCCCACATGCCGCGGAGCGGCTGGGCCCGTGAGCCATGGCCGCTGAGCCTGCGCGTCCGGAGTCTGTGCTCTGCAACGGGAGAGGCCACAATAGTGAGAGGCCCGCGTACAGCAAAAAAAAAAAAAAACAAAACCAAAAACCAAAAAAAGAAACAGGACCTAATCTAACAGAATAGAAAATATCAGAGTGCCTTGAATATACTAAGGGTCAATATTGTTTTATGACACTTTAGTTTCACTTATAGGCATACATGTTTATTCATATAGATAGTATAAAATATGTCTTACTATGGGTGGTAATCAAAAAAGATTAAATTTTAAAAATAAAAACCATCAAAAAAGTTTGAAAAACACTGCCCAACATCAACTTCTTTTTTCCACTCTGAAGTTCAAAAAAATTGAGAACCATAGAAGGTGATTGGTCCAAGTCCAAGAATCAGTAGCAAATGCAAAATCTGAACTCAGGTCTCCTAACAGTCAGATGTTCTTTGAACAAAAGTTGATTAATTGCCTAACATAAGGACTGGAGAGCATGGATTTCATTTACTTGACTTATCCTTGAGACCACACTGTGAAATGATCAAATGTCATAATGCTTCGTTATCTTAGTATTTATGAGAAAACACATCATGCTGCTCTTTTACTTTGCATCATACACTGAGCACTCGACTTTGACAGATTGTCAGTTTGTGCCTTTATTATTCTTAAAAATTTTTTTGTGGACGACTTTGATACATATTCATCCTTATGTTTTGAATAAAGATAATCTAGTTCTTTCTGTTTTTCAGTTGAATGGCCGAATGATTATTTTGGTACTTTCTTTCATAGTCCTTAATCATCTTTTTTTTTCTTTTTTTTGCAGTATGCGGGCCCCTCACCGCTGCGGCCTCTCCCGCTGCGGAGCACAGGCTCCGGACGCGCAGGCTCAGCGGCCATGGCTCACGGGCCCAGCCGCTCCGCGGCATGTGGGACCCTCCCGGACCGGGGCACGAACCCGCGTCCCCTGCATCGGCAGGCGGACACCCAACCACTGCGCCACCAGGGAAGCCCTCCTTAACCATCTTGAAAAACAAACATTCCAGAATATTTAGAGGTGTTTCTCCTGAAATCAGGGAAATATTAGGTGCACCTCGGGACTCCTCCAGCCTTATAGTTCTATTGCTTTTACCTTTGTGATCAGTCTTTATGGATTTCCTCTTCCTTTTTCCAAGAAATTAAACTTTTCTTTTTTCTTTGCACAGTATTTGACTTAATTTCAGGGAGGCATTGAGGCACAGCAAAGAATACAGGGTAGGGAATTGAGAGACCCGAGTCCCACTCCTTTTTGTCACCTAACTGATTGTTTGAACTTCATCAGGTCCCATAACATTTGGGGGCCTTGATTTCTTCATTTGAAAAACAGGAAGTGTGTCTAGATTATCTATAGTTGTTGTAATCAATTAGTGTTTCCTAACCACGTGGAGGTTACGGATTCATTTCCAAATATGAGAGAAACCATTGCCTAGAAATTTGCGCTTGAATATAGAGAAATGTGTTTTTGTGTAAAATTGTGTAGGATTCCTGGATTTTTGTAACCCATTTATAGGCTCACAGTTTCAAAAATCTTTACATAACTTCTTCTATGTCATACAATGTACCAGATTCTCTACATTTCCTTTCTTGAACTTCCTAAGGAATTCCTGATTTTGCTTCCTTCCTGCTTCCTTAATGATGTTCTCCATAGTACAAGGACTCCTAGAGCTGGAAAGCAATTTGAGCAAGCTACATCATCCATCTCATTTCCTTCTTGTCTATTACCTTCACTTATCAGTACTTCTCATTTGTCCATTTAGAAACTCAAATAGTGTTTTTACTTTGAATAATGACATGGACAATAGCCCCTTAAAATCCATTTCTCACCTTTATTCATTCATTCTACAATATTTACCGAGCATCTCCTTGGGTCAGGCACTGTGTTCCATGTTGAGGATATAATGGTGGGTAAGATAGACACTGCCCTTTCCTCAAGAGGCTTACTGGAGAGACTGACAAAAAAGAAGTTACCAAGGAGTTTAGTAAGATTACTTCAAGCTCAATGAAATGGATGGATTTTGAGGCCAGGCTGCCAGAGCTTGAATCCCATGTTTATTACTTACTATCTGTATATATCAGCCACTTCCTGTGAACTACTTCAGATACCCTGGCCTCACTCATCTCCAGGGTCTTTGGCTATGAGGGGAAAACACTTTTTTCTCCCTCTACCTTCCTATGTTCACTGGCTGGGCTCTCCAATTAAACTAATAAGAAACAGTTTAGAAAGAGAGAAGAAAAAAAACCCAACCAAACAGATATGGTTATATACACAGACATAGAGATTTACAAGGAAAAGAAAACTCAAGGAGACAGCCAGATTGAGGCTTATATACCCATCTTCAGCTAAACAAAAGACAAGAGTCTGGGCCTCTGGGTGGAGAAGGTGTGTTAAGGAAAGGGGAGGGAGGAACCATAGGTAAATAAGGGTTGTCTCGCTATGCAGATAAGTCTCTTGGGTGATAAGAGTTGTCTCTGGTGTAGCTCTTTCTCTGGTAAGAGACATAAGTAGAAATTGCCTTTTTAAATGTAAATTTCCTGCACAAAAGGGGAAATTTTACTCTATTTTTAGGCAGTTAGGGGGAGGTAAAGAGCTTTTCCTGCAACTGCTGATTCTCAATTGCCTTTAGCTCAAAAGAATTCATATGCCAAAGAGGCACATTTTGGTACCCTTCATTCTGCCCTTTAAAAATTCTTCCCCTACCCCGGGAAAAGGCATTTCTGTTAAAACAAAACAAAACAAAACAAACAAAAACCCAAAGGTTCATGGGTGGAGCAAATGATAAACCCAGTTTTGAGGACCAGAGGAAAAGTCAGTCAAAAAGGTTTCTAGATGTTGGACTCAAAGCATAAATAGATGGTGGAGAGAGGATGGCTGTGACAATCTAACTTCCAATTTCCTGATTTTCAGTTTGAATGTCTTTGGTGATGGCATGTATATCAGTGTCACAGTCATGGTTATTCTTCAGAGCAAAGCACGGAAGCACCTGGCATTAGTTTGTAGAGCCCTTTTAGATAGCCCTAATGAGAACAGGGCAGTCAGGTTTTAGTTCTCAGTGGTGCCAAGTCAGAAAGGTGAGAGAAAAACTAGAAATGTTAATTACTGACAAAATGTACAAAACAACCCACAAGGATGTGCTGTATTTTTTCACTGAAACAGAACTTCTCCCTCTCTCATCACTCCAATTTCTATCAAAGGTAATCAAAGTAAGACTAATTTGCAAAAAAAATCGAGTCTCATTGAACTTGGCCTGATTATTTACATAAGTGTATCAAGAATAAGTAACTGACCACTGAGGCTCTTTTAAGTCTGCTTTGCTGGAATTTTAAATCAGGGAACTCAGATTCGATTTTTCAAAGCCTCTTTGAGGATAGGAAGCCAAGCCAGAACTTACCATCAGTCTTCATCTGCAGCACCTGTAGATTTGGGTGAATTCCTCCTTTCTCAGGGTTCCCAATATATTTTAAGGCTCCTGGGCCTTCCAGGAAGCAATGTTCCTTACCTGTAAGACCAGGAAGCCTGTAAGGCAGGTATCAGATGGGTATTCCAAGAGGGCTTTATAAGCATTGGCTCTATACAGTGAACCTTAGTTCTCAAATACGCCATTCTAGTCAAAGCCTTGGTAATATAACCAATATTTCAAACTGTGTCCTGTTAACAAGGACAACAGATTCTTTTTTTTTTTTTTTTTGCCCCTTGGCATGTGGGATCTTAGTTCCCCAACCAGGGATCAAATCTGTGCCCCCTGCAGTGGAAGCACAGAGTCCTAACCACTGGACAGCCAGGGAATTCCCAGGACAACAGATTCTTATTGAACATATGCAAATAATTATATTACCATGAAAACAAAATATTCAATAAAAGCTTCCAAATTCTAGAGGGATCAGGTAGGGAGAAAAAGTAAATATTTCATCTTTATTCACAAAAGTATACTTTAATATATTTCTGTAAGGTATAGATAGCTTAAAAGAAAAGAGAAAAAGGATTCCTTAAATCTGAAAAATGAAACATTAAAGAACCAGTGATGTTTCAACCCAAAAGGCCAGAAAAATTATAATCATCCTTATCAGTTCATTCAGTCCCAGGAAATTAATTCTTGTTTTGCTTGAGTTAGGGTTAGCAATTTTATACATTCATCAGGTTCTTTGTTGGACTGCACCCCACAGGCCTACAAGAACTGCACTTGCCCAGCTTTAAGACCAAAGAAAGAGGACTTCTCTGGTGGCGCAGTGGTTAAGAATCTGCCTGCCAATTCAGGGGACGTGGGTTTGAGCCCTGGTTTGGGGAGATCCCACATGTCGTGGAGCAACTAAGTCCGTTTGCCACAACTACTGAGCCTGCACTCTAGAGCCCCTGAGCCACAAGAACTGAGCCCAAGTGCCACAACTACTGAAGCCCACGTGCCTAGAGCCTGTGCTCCACAACAAGAGAAGCCACCGCAATGAGAAGCCCAGGCACCGCAACGAAGAGTAGCCCCCGCTCGCCTAGAGAAAGCCTATGCGCAGCAACGAAGACCCAACGCAGCCAAAAAAAAATGAATAAAATTAAAAAATGAATAAATAAATAAATAAAAGACCGAAGAAAGACCCCAGCATCAGCGACAGAGACATCAATGGTTGAATGGATGGGGGAGCTAACACGTCTGAAGCAAGGTCCTGGGGCGACACCCTACCGTGTGTGGTGGAAGGCGGGCAGGACACGGCAGCAATCTTCGCTCCTGGCGGGGAAGGAGAGATTGCCACTTATAGGAGGAACTGACTTCAGGTTGGCTCATTAGTTACCAGCCGAGGGGCACGCCCCTCACTGCCCCTTTGATAAGGACAATCCTAGCTGGGGCCTGGGACAAGTCTGTAGGAAGGTCATTTATGTGTGTAGGGTGTAGGTGAAGCAGGCACTGGTTGGGCAGGGGACGTACAGAGAGCAAGAGAACAGCCATCTTGAGTGGCCTGACCATACATTCTCCATTTGAGTTTTTGGAAGTTTTACCCAGCCCAGTGGCATGATTTTTATGTTATCAGAAACGTGTACCCCAGAGTACTTGTCAGTCTTTTCTGTGAATCTCCTTGATGTGAAGCATTTTCCCCTGTAGTTGATTGCTACAACATTTCAGGAAGAATAGTGTAAAATATTAACTGTGTGGGAATGACAGACTTCAAAATGGCCCTGGTTAAGAATCTGATGAAAGTTCATTACGGCACACTTGACAAATCTGGTTATTTCTGCGACACACAACATTTTATAATGACTGGAATTATGACTGATAACATTAAACAAGGACAAGTTATGGATAGCAAAGATACTGACAAATTTCTAGGAACTTTATACAATTTCTGAAACATTTATATGAAAAACATGTATCCATACAAATATAACCTAAAGAAGGTTCAGAATCCCTTCTCATCTGACAATGTTTCCCATGTAATTTAACATTTCCAATAAACCTAATTAGTGTAACACCTCTATTTTACCAAGTGAGAGAACAAATTCTGTGAGATTTTTCAGGTGCCCTCTGGGAATCTCAAAGTTATCTTGAGGTAAAAGAAGATTCCATTTAGAATTTTATTTGGGGAAATTTGTCAAAAATATCAAAAGGTTTGAACACCTGATTAAATAGGATCACAGGTCACTATGAAACAATACTTGGTTATCTATTTAACCAAAGTGACAATAAAAGATTTCCAAGGCAAATACAGAAGATCACATGACTATAAAAAAAAAAACTTGGCACTTTCAATATTAAGAAGTTTGTTTTCTTAAGTAATCAAAAACATAATAAAGACAACACAACTCACAGAAAGTTATTCTAAGACACAGAATCTTTGTTTTCTAGGCAGATTACTCCACAGGTAAAGAAAAACTTTTTATGAACAGACCATTAATCCAAACTCCAGTTCTGTATCAGTACACTATTTATATCAAAATTCATTTTAAAACCTAATGATGAATACGTTTCATTTAGCCAGCCTGACCACAGAAGAAAAGGTTTTCTCTCTCTTTCCTTTTACAACTCCCTATATCTATCTAGGTTTTTGTCCTTTATTTTCCTCTTCCTCATCTGAAACAACTTTTAAATAACCTTAAACTACTTTAGGACAAAATTACTCTCCTTTTTCTTAACAAAAAAGCATCCTTCATCTCTCACATCCTGCCTTACTTTTCTTGCATACTTTGCAGACAATTTTTTCCTTCATTTTTATTATTCCTAATAGCTAATTTACATATGTTGATTAGAATTCTTAACCCTTGGTAACCTTAGTTTCCAGTGAAAAGAAGGAAGTAAGCAATTGTGAACTGTGTGTTATATATATCAGCATTCTGTAGTAAATTAGAAAATTTATGAATATACCAATTTTATAATTTTTAGAGGCATCTTTTCTTCACAGTAAAATTTTTCAATATGATAAAATAATATGTTTATTAACAGAACTGAATATCTTTAGTCTGTCTGTAATAAGAGGCCAAAGTAGATATAATTAAACTTATGTTTAGCAATTAATGTTTTGGTATTTTATCTTATTTGCAGATGATCTAGATATTCGAAGAATGTCCATCATTTAACTTAACTTAGTATAGCTTTAAAGTTTTAAGATACCCAAAAGATTTTGGAAACTATTCTTAAGCAGAAAGGCTCATGTATAAACTGTTACCCACTTCCATTTAACCAACATATTCTTAACAGTTATGCTTTAAATGTTCATGAAAATTTCATGAGACATTAAACAAAACTAGCCATCATCTAAAGCTGTTTTCTTGTTAACAAATTTTGTAACATGCATGCTAGGAAAATATTAAAAGTCACAGAAGTAAAGAAACCAACATGTCACCATGTGCCTTATAATAAATTTGTAATTTTATAATTTTAAACAACTAGAGATAACATAACAACAAGTAGAGACAACATAATCTCATTTGAACAGTAAACCCAGGTAGAATAAAATTGTATGTCTGCATTACATTTAATGCCAACAACTTTCAGGACATACCTATTTTTTTTTAACCAAAAATATTAAACTAGTTTCATTTACCAAACATTATCTGAGATCACATGGGCTTAAAAAAAAAAAACTAATTTGGGTTAGTTTCTATTTTTCTGACAGTTTTAGGAATACATAACTTATATAAGTGTTTATTTCTTTCTAAACCAATTAAAGCAGAGCTCTTTCATGAATTTTGGCAATACCTTCCAGAGGTAGGAAAATATCACATATACAAAACATACATACATAGACATAAACATTCAGACGGTCACAAATAGAAATCACATAGCATTCATTTAAAAATGTTACCTGTGAATTGGATACAAATAATATAAAACTTACTAGTTTATATAAAATATTTGGATCCAAATTGTGTTTCTGCCAGGTATAACAAGTTAAGGTTACCTACTGTACTGAGACTTTTTGACTTTTAGCCAACTAAAATATTGTATAATTTTACTGAAATGGGAAATCATAAAAAAAAATTATAAATATTTAAAAGACCTCATAGATACACAGAACAGATTGGTGGTTGCCAGAGGTGGGAGGTGGGAGGCGTGGGTAAAATGGGTGTAGGTGGTTAAAAGGTACAGACCTCCAGTTATAAGATACATAAGACCTGGGATGTAAGGTACAGCATGGGGACTATAGTTAACAATACTTTATTGCATATTTGAAACTTGCTAAAAGAATAGATCTTAAAAGTTCTCATCACAAGAAAAGAAAGTTCTATGTGTGGTAATGGATTTTAACTAAACTTCTTGTTGTAATCACTTTGCCTTATATACATATATCAAATTACTATGCTTGGGCTTCCCTGGTGGCGCAGTGGTTGAGAGTCCGCCTGCCGATGCAGGGGACACGGGTTCATGCCCCGGTCCAGGAAGATCCCACATGCCGCGGAGCGGCTGGGCCCGTGAGCCATGGCCGCTGAGCCTGGGCGTCCAGAGCTTGTGCTCCGCAACGGGAGAGGCCACAACAGTGAGAGGCCCGCGTACCGCAAAAAAAAAAAAAAAAAAAAAATTACTATGCTTTACAACAAAATATAATACAGTGTTATATGTCAATTGTATTTCAATTAAGAAAATCCTTTTAGATATAAAGTCCAAATTTCCAAAGGTATCCCTATTCCAGTGTGACTCGAAACCAGTAATCCTTTTTATAACTTAAACATGAACACAAGAAGCATCCCCAAAGAGGCTGAAAAAGATGCAGAGACAACCCCCCTTCCCTCTGCCCCAGGATCAAGAGTTACTCCCAAAGACAGCTTAAGAAATCAAAGACCTTCACTGTCACAAGCAGTAAGAGAACTCTGGTCCTCCACAAAAGTGTGACACCTTCAGTCATAGACCTGCTAACCTGTCCCACTGAATAGGCTATACTGGGATGAGACTTTTCCCTGAATGACAAGGAAATGAAATTATGGACTGAGACCTCTCATTGATACAAACTCCCATGAGAGCTGGTATGGTCAGATGGACAATGTTACTTATGTGCTTTTGTGTGTCGGGTTTC